GGAAAGAACAAATCGATAACCAACATTTTCAAAGTTCCCCAAATTACTCCATGTGCCCTTTCACTAGCATAGCACACGTGTGCGCAGTCCTCCACACAGGTGCAAGTAGAGAGGGCTTATAAGAGTAAGGGGAAGGGAGGGAGAGGGAGGGGAGAAAGTTTTCTCAATTCACTACTTCCTGCAGGGCCATGTACCAAACACATACCCATCACTAACCTCTTCCAACAAACTAGTGCTTGTCTCTCTCTCCCTGACCCACCCAATAACAAGCAACACACGATTCGTCTAGAAGTATAGTACACCTAACTTTCTCTGAAAATATTCTGATCCCAGAGCTCGGGCAGGAAACTCATTCTAGATATCCAATACAGAAAGATGGGATTGAGAGTACTAGCATCCCCCCTTCCCCTGAGCCGTCACGCCACAATTCTTCCTCCACTTCTCTATCCCATCAGATTGTGGGTGTGCACGTGCATGTGTCTGCTGTGTTTGTAAGTGGCCAGGCTAGGATCTGAACTGCTGTTGGCCATGGGGATCCAGCTTTCCACACACAGCACTTACCCACTGTGTTAGGGGCTACCCCTATGTCTCTCTTTTTAAGGTAATAATAAATAGTGCTTATAATTCCTATATATAGGTATGGCTAAAAAAATGCATGCTACTAAAAATTCTTACAATGAACTGAATAAATAAAAATTATTCTTTGCTTTAGGGTTTCAGTCACTATTGAGATAATCTGTTCTCACGTATTGATTACTAGACTACCAATGTCAGGCACACATAGATACAAGTAACAGCGTTCACTCAAGAGCTTAAACTTTGATGGAGAAGATAAAACAAATACTGTTACAAATGACACATGGCAGTCTACGACAAGGATTGTAAGCCACCACGTGCATCTGTGGAGTGGTAGTACCCTGTAGGATGTAAACACATTCATAAATATTCCTCACGCTTTTCCTTCAAATAAACCTCTTAGAATTTCCTTTTTAAAAATATTTAATTTAATTTGCAGATGAGAGATTCAAGACCACAAACAGAATTCACAGTAGATCCAGTACTGGAATCCACCTTCTGACTTCTAGTCTAAAATCCTGTCTCCTAAATAGCACTGACATTCAGACCAAGGGTGGGCTTCAAATCATAATAAAAACTGAAAGTGCATGCAGTGGGACTTCATGGTATATTTTTTAACCATGTAAATAGAGCATAACAGAATGGTATTACCTTGACATGATCTAAGATCACTAGGGGACCATTGACTCCTGATACTGTCTTGTATGCTGGAAAGAAACACAAATGAATCAGCTTAGTCAAACAGCACGAAACCTAAATTGCCTGTACAGTATTACCAAAACCCCTCTGCTGTATCACACCTGTTGTAACATGGGGCGCTCAGACACAAAGCTTTTCAATGAATTAGTAACATATGCCTGTGCCTTTACAGCTTTTCAGGATCCATTCTTGCCCAACCCAAACCACTGATCCCTAGCTGTGAGGAAGTTACTGTTGTAAACACCCACAATATAAAAGCAAGGCCGAGGGACAGACCCTGCCTGCCTTCAGAAGTTCGGCCCCACGTGGGAGAGGCAGTTAGAAGACGATGAGATAACGGTTCTAATCGAGGTGTGCAGGTTTGGGGCGTGCGACAGAGAGTACCAATAGCTCCTATCTCGGCCTTGAGCTTAGTAAACAATGCAGGGAAAATACTCCTTAACGAGTTTAAGTGAAAGTGCCAAAATCACAAATGAAATTTGAAAAAATAGAATCTGTTATGTAAAAAGCAATGATTTAGGGGCCAGCAGGTAGCATGGTGGTTAAGGTGCTGGATTCCCAGATGGCTGCCCCGTAGTTCGAGTCCTGTACTTGGTGGCTTGAAAATCACATTGGGTGTAAATGCATGTGTGCTCAAAAGGCCAGTCTGGAAGAATGAGTTGCGGTGTGGCCATCCCCCCTCAGGGCTTTTCTCGTCTCTCTCTCTCTCTCTGTTGAGTATAACTATGGAAAAGCCTAAAAAAAAAAAAAAAAAAAAAAAGCCATAATTTAATGGTGTCATTAAAACTATGAGGAAGCTTGTGAAAGGGAGAGTGGGCAATGGAATGAACAGGCAGAGGGGACAAATAAGACAAGTGTTCTTAAAAAAAAAAAAAGCCAATGTTACTGTCAGGTTAAGAGATCGATACTTTTTCATTCAAAGTATGCTTAAGAATAAACTGCTAGTCCACTCTGCAAAGTGCTACCACACCCCTCGTTTGAGAAAGGAGACAGCCACCTTCAGCCCAGCCCTAACACACGGCACTGCAAGGGTAATGCTAACTAGGAGTGTGACCATACTCGGGAACGGCAACTCGAGGGATGACTTCAGAATCCACTACACTTATTAACAGTCAAACGCATGAAATAAGATTTTGAGAAAAAAATAGACTTACTATGAGACCTAAAATAATTTATATGAGGCTGTCAACAACTGGGAATTTGTCATTTGATTTCTTTTGAGACCTTAAAATGAGATTGGTCAGAGATTCCTGGCATAAATGTGGATGCCCAAGAATGAGGAAACCATTTATTAACCAGTGTGTTCACTGGAGGGGCTTCATAATTTAAAAGCACAACTGCCTCAACCTAAGGCCAGGAAGCAAACAGCCTGGTACCAAGAGGAGACGGGGCAGGCAAGCACCCTTGGGCCCCACCAGGCAGGCTTACCAAGACACCCGAATCTAAACCCAGACCTGCGATGATAACTCAGTGGAGGCCCACAAACTGAGTTTTGCTTTTGTACCTTAGGAAAAAGGCAAATCACAAGTCTATTTAATGCATGGGGGGGTAAAGGATCAATCACTCCCTAAAATTAGTACCAGAAAGACCCCAATTGTCAGATTTTCTGCCATTTTTATAAAGACCTTCCCAATTGTTTTAAAATAATCAAATACTGTTTTATGAAACATAATTCTGGGCTTTAACATTTTTTTTCTTCATGTCCTCATTTTATTTATTTTTTTAATTGTCAGAAGGCATTTGTGCTTGCTAGAGAGAGAGGGAAAGAAAAGAGAGAGGGGGAAAGAAAAGAGAGAGGGGGAAAGTACGACCCAACAGGACAGGTCACACCGCGACTTCTCCCCCACTCCCCCATCCTTCTGGGATTTGGGGCATGCACATACATGTGCCTGGCACGTTTCTCAAGTCACTAGTTAGGACCTGAGCCATGGTCAGTCATTTGGGGCCTGGCCTCCTTAACCAATAAGCTACAGGGCTGACTTATATCCCCATTTCAAAAACTCTAAACAATATTTTCCAATGACTTTCTTAAATTGATAGGTAGAAATAAAAAGCTACATTTGAAATGTTTTCTTAAAATCCAGTTTTAAAAAACTGACAGAGACCTTTTCGAAACCTCTGCCTACACAGCTGGGAGTGGCGAAGGGAATCTAGTTTTGAGATCTGTAAGAAACTGTTTTGAATAAAATACAACATCAGCAAGATCCTTCAGGTTCTTAAAAGTCCCTTTACTTTTTCAACAAGGTTCTATTTCCTTTCAACTTCAATCTCTACAACAACCATGCTTCAGAATCTCGTGTTTAAAATTCAAGCTCATCCCAAAGGATGAAGTTTTGCCAGTCACGAGCAAAAGCATGACAAGAAAGAAACGGCAGCCTGGCCTTCCTGGGAACGCATGACTCACACCGACTTCCACCACACGTGCTACCCCACCGGGAGAGGCCACTCCATTTCAGCCATGAGCTCGGCACCTGTGCTGCTCTCACACCGGCCCCACCAACACACGTGCACTGAGCTCCTCAGGAATTTGCTTCTCGTCTCCATAACAAACCTACGCGTTAACTGCCACTGTTCCAAGTTTCGGAAAAGAAAAATTCTCAGAGAAATTAGGAACCTGGCCCAAAGATCTGAACTTCCATGGTTGGACCCACGGCCACTTGTTCTCTACCCCTTCCACAGCCCACATGCTAAAACTTAACTGGTGTGTGTGTGTGTGTGTTTACGCGCACAGAATAATCCCATGCATCTACAATTGTAACTATGAAAACTAGATCATTTTCACTATTTAATGCACTAGGCAGTATTTCCCTGGGTCCACATTTTGCCACTACTGCAGAGCAATCTCTCCAGCAGTGCTGTGGCTATGGACGAGTCTAAGCAAAGAGAAGCCTCCCTCCCTGAGGTCATGAAAACCACAGACCACTTCAGACACAAATCAGAGGTTAAACACGCCTGGGTTTGATGAAACTGACAAAGACTAGGCTAACAACAGCTACAACACAAACTAAATAAAAACACTAGTTACATATTTGGGGAGGGCTTCATGCTTTTACAGAGCATCTTGATAGGCTACCTGATATTTTCTTCACAAAATACTGTGATATAGGCAGGCTGGTAAGAATACGGACACTGAGGTCCTGAGAAATCTGTTACTGAACGGAGAAGCCAGGTTTTTAACCGTTTTGCTTTTCTTTCATTTTAAAGATGAAGTCTGTAACTGTGTAACATTTCTTTCTTTTTAACAAATTTGACAGAGAACGAGAAAGAGGGGAGGAAAATGAGAAAGCACTTCCCGCAGGGGACATGGTTACGCTGCAATCCCTTCTTCTCCACTTCCCCTTCCTTTCAGAATTCTGGGCATGCACGCACATGTGCCTGGCATGTTTTTCAAGCCCCTGGGTCAGGACTCAGACCACACAGTCGGCCACGTGGGATCCAGCCACTTTAAGCAGCACACCATGGGCCGGTTCAACCATATTCTATTTCTGACCTTGGTCTCTGGCACTTAGAATACAAACAGGTACTAGAAGACACTTTATAGACGAACTATAGATCTTTTCCATGGTAATAAAGTGATTTGCAAAGAAAACCAAGCAGAGAAAATGAGATCACCGTCTTTTAGTCTCTCAATATTTCTCTAACCTTCCTTATCATTAACAGTGCAAAGCGGGACCTCAGTGCAGAGAACAGCATCAGAGACATTAAGCTGCTCTTCC